ACCCATGGTTAACAAAGGTAGTAGAGCAGAATAATTCATCAAAACTTAGGCATACAAAATGGTGAAATACAGTGGTAGACCAGAAGAGTGATTTTTTTTTTAAAAAGGAACCAAAAGTGGATATCTAAAAAGGTAATAAAAAGAGGGAGAAAATTATAAAAATAAATTGGCAAGGAATACAAGAACAAATAGCAAGAGCTTCGATGGGTATATAACAACAGAGTAGCTAACGCAAGTGGAGGACGCAACCGAGGAATTAGTAGCAGGGAACCCAGAAATGACAGGTAATTTAAACCAATAATTTACATCAGTCTTCACGGTGGGGAAGCCACAATAAACATCCCAAAGATAACAGATAATCAACGTGCTAGATCACTGAAAACGTTTAAACAAGAGGGAGGTGGATTTTTGAAATAGCACACTGAGAACTACGAGGAGCTGATGCGAAAGAGGTGAGGCCTGGGTCAGATCAGCCATGACCCTATTGAATGGTGGGCAGGCTTGAGGGGCCAAATGGTCTACATCTGCTGCTATTTATGTTCTTAAGGTTCTTCACAGGACCATTAACAAAGTTTAATGCTAAACCTCATGAGAAAATATTAGTGAAAATACCAAATGCTTAGCCAAACAGCATCTTATTTGTTGGAATCTTTTAGGAAGTGTCTGAAACAGAGGTAGGTGATGATACACAATGGTTCCGACAATATATTTTGGGTGGAATTTAATCCAGGCATTGGGATCTCATTCATAAGGTGGAAAGGCAGCAGAATGTCATGTCACCCCAATTAAAGAATGCCATTGTATTAAATGTCAGAAAGGCACTTAAGTGGTCATCAGTGAGTCTTCCATGGGATGAAGGGCAAAAGCTCAATGCAACTGGGAATGTGGTGGTAATTACTGGCAGTACGCCCAAAAAAGACCGAGGATCTGTGATGGACAAAGCCAATTAGGATTAAGGGTAGAATGGAGTAACCACGTGTGATGATACTATGGCTTTAAGAGGTGCATTTTGTCCTGGTTTCTTTTGAACAGAGAGGTTTTAAGACAGGTGTAGAGCTGTCTATTTGGAGCCAATACAGTTAATAGCTTGTGAGGGCTTGGTATATTTTTAAAAATAAAGGTAGGAACAATAGAAGCAGCCTGAATGGATGGGGCAAGCTCCCACCGAATCAGGATTTTTAGTTTTTTATTTTGACAGTAGCTGTTGTTGCTGGAGTCTCAGCCAGGTGTGGAAGCTGCAGTACGTCTCTCCCTGCTACACTCTCTCTCAGGGTCTTCTCTTGATGTTTTTCCCTCCTGGATCAGAGAATTGTCTGTGAGACAATCAATTTTTCTGAACTTGCCTTTTGCCAAGGGTGTGTTTATGGGATGTTGCTACATTGGAATAGTTACTGTTTAGTAACTAAATAATCCATTCTTCTGTTAATCCATTATTCCAATAGTTAAATTATTTTAATTTCTTCTTTCTTTTGTTGTATTTTAACTATAGTGTATGAACTGTGCGTTTTGCTTCAAATCTGGCAGTTTGACCAGTCGAATTGCAACTGGAACGCCACACCTTACACTTAATTTTTAAAATAAGAAAATGTTAGGGTCTAGACAATCTTCTGAATATACTTTGAGGTGGTTTGGTTTGGTCCATAACACATGGAAGGGGTTTACTGGCTTAAGTGAGCTGAGTAGGGGAAGAGGGTTTAAAAAAAAAAATGGCTATCAGTAGGTTCCCACTTTTTGATACCAGATCCTTTGATCAGGCACTGAGCCAACCAGAAGCCTGCAAGCAACCACAAAAGGACTCGTTTTTTGGACTCCCGAATCACGACTCCCCCACTCACTGCCAGTTTAAAGCCAGTATCAACAGGTCAGAGCCCTGATGAGAACATTAATTGTCCACATAAGAGCCTCATTTGGTTTCGGGGCAGGAAGGCAATTCATGAACTTTATCATATGGGACTTAGCAGAAATAGAGGTGGAAAGATAGTCGGATGCCTACCCTGCACCCTCTTTCCCCTATTAAACACTACCTTCGCATCCAAATTCAGGGGCTGGAAAAAAATTCTACTTGAATGTTGACACTGGAGATGATTTTCTACTTCAATGCCTGTAGCATCAACTAACAATTGCACACTGCAGCCTGTAATCTGCTGTCTGCTCAGATTAATGAATCAAAATCATAGCATGCATGTATGAAGCAGAAAATCTCCCTTAAGATACCCAAGTTGTAAAATTGTTCAATTCTTCATCATTCAAAATTAACGTCCCATACTTTTTCACTGGCTTCAGGTACTTGACACCTAGTATTAGCAGCTTTAATGTAATTTAAAAAATCCCAAGGTACTTCACACTTGGTTATAAAGCAGAATTTGACACCAAGCCACATTAGAAAATTTCAAAATCTTCTTTGACTAAGATTTTAAGGATCATCAAAGGAAGAAAGAGCAGTAGACACAGAGGTTTGACAGGGAATATCCAAAGCTTCAGGCTTAGCAGCTACCAATGGCACATTAATAAAACTAGGATGAGACAGAACTAGAGGAAGATCAAACGAACAAATGTTTATAAAATAAGAGATAAGGTAGAGACCTTTAAGAGATTTGAAAATCTAGGTGGGGATTTTAGAATTGAGGCACAGCTCAAATGAGAGCCAATTTAGGTTTGCAAGCATGGGCGATCAGTGAATGGATCTTAATGAAACCAAGGAAGCAGATAACAGATCTTTAGATGGTCTCAAGTTCACACCAGGTAATGTGTAAGGTCAGGACTTACGCAGTTAATGGTAAGGCCCTGGGAACTGTTGTTGAACAGAGAGACCTAGTGGTTCAAGGTATATAGTTCTTTGAAAGCTGTGTCACAGGTAAACAGGGTAGTTAAAAAGATGTTCAGCACACTTGTTGTCATTGCCCAGACCATTGAGTATTGGGGTTGGGACCTCATGTTGCAGTTGTACAGGATGTTGGTGAGGCCATTTGAGTTATGAGGAGGTGCTGGATAGGTTGTGACCTTTTTTTCACTGAAGCATAGGAGGTTGAGGTGTGGCCTTATAGATGTTTATACAATCATGAGGGGCATAGATGAAGTGAATAGCAAAGGTCTTTTCCCTAGTGTAGGGGAGTTCAAAACTACAGGATATATTTTTAAGGTGAGAGAAAAAAGATTTAAAAGGGACCTGAGGAACAACTTCTTCCACACAGAGGGTGGTTGTACATGGAACAGACTGTCTGAGGAAGTGGTAGATGCAAGTAGAGTTACAACATTTAAAAGACATTTGGACAGTTACATGAGCAAGAAAGGTTTAGAGGGATATGGGCCAAATGCAGACAAGTGGGGCTAGTTTAGTTTGAAAAACTTGGCCAGCATGGACAAACTGTTTCTGTGCTGCACGACTATGTGGAACAGTCAGATGTGTACATAAGAAAGCAAGAAAATCTAGAGGTAAGAAAATCAACATTTACAGTCTTGGCAACAGGTGACTTGAAATAGGGGGATAGTTGTACAATGTTATGATGGTGGAAGGAGGTGTTTTCAATTTATCATAAGCTCATTTTGGGGTAAAGTGTGATATCATAGTTGCAAACATCCTGGTTTGGCCTGAGACAACTGCCAGGGAGATGGGACTAAGGAATAGAGTTTGTTTTTTGCAATATTTAATTGGAAAAAAAAAATCCTGTTCATCTAGTACTGGATCTTTGACAAGCAGTTTGGTAAGTTAGCCACAATTGAGTCAGGAGAGGTGGTGGTGTGACAGAGCTGAGGAACATCAGTTAACATTTGAAAGCTGATACATTGGTGAAATTTCATGCTCCTCCAGGGGTATTACAGTTATTGGAGGCCACATGGGCAAACTGCCAAATAAAGCCTGTTGGGGGTCTCTCTTTCTTGGGCACAGTGCCCAATGAATGGCTCAGTCGGTAGCAAGGTTGCTGCCCAGGAAAAGACATCCCATTTCCCTGCCATTGGCTCTCCAGTTTATGGATGGGCTTACTGTCACAACCATTAAATTTCACCTTGTGTTTTAGGCTAATGTCCCTAAGATACAACATTTAGTTGCTAAGTAGGAGGTGGGTAGGATTCCAGGAACCTGTGCCCACTCATCTGCACTTGGGTGAACTCTTGATATTAATTAATCTATTTCCTTGATTCATGTCCAACATACTCTGCCTTCAATATTGGTGCACAATTCTCTCTTTGGCAGTCATATTTCAATTACATAAGCAAGCTTGGAAGGAGAAAACAGTATACATTCCATTAAGCTTTCCACAGACTGTGTCAAATCAGATGTATCTAGCACTTTATCCTATTCAATGTATTAGCAACAATGGAAAATTATTAACTATCCTCTGTGACGCAGGAACAAATTCTGAAAGCTGGAAAGAACTGTCGAAACAAGTTTGTACAGCAGCTAAAACAATGACCAGAAAGGAAACAACAGACCCAGTGTCAGGGCACAGGAACAGCTTCTGGCAAAAAGACTCCATGCCAACCACTTAACATATCAGATAATCCATTTTTCCCTTAATTCCTCTGCTTAATTCAAACTGAGATTTATTATGATTTAAACAAAATGATCACATGCATACACTGGTTTACATTTCAGATGTAATGACAGTAAAAATTAGTAGACTACTAACAGACTATTACTGGATATAGTGGTAGTAGTTTTTAGGAGTAGTCTAACTGTACAATGTCAAAGTACAGTGTGCAATATAAAGATTGCAGTATAGAACAGAAATGCTCTTACAACCAGATAGTAGGTGTACATCAGCACAGGTAACTAAGATACTGAAAAACAAGTGCTAACAAGAAATAAAATACGGATACAAAAAACTGCCAATATCTTAACAAGCAAACCACTTAGAGGACAAATATCGAAAACGAACTGATGCTATGAATGCTTTTGAAGTTATAGCTGTTTCGAACAACAAAATCATAATAATTACAATGGATTAATTTCCAAAGCAATAACCCAAGACAGATATTTAACTGTCAGGATGCAGTGTATTTCGAATAAATCAACATGAACAAAATATATTTGTTACATAATGTAAATTTTATACTAAAATGAATTTTTACTATTTTTTCATTCTTGCTATTGTGTGTAAAATATTGAAGTGAAATGTAATAAAAGCTATATATACCCTAATCAATCAGAGTCTTCACTGCTGTCAAAAAGGTTAAGCTGTGTTTTGTTTTGTGCTTCCTTTCCAAGTGAAAGCTTTGGTGATTTATCACAGGAGCTCTCCTGAGTTAAAGGACTAAACCACGACTGAAGATGATGTTCAGATTCCATATCATTTTGCAGATCGCTCCTTTGTAAAGAATTAGGAGACTGCCATGAAAGATTTCTCTCAGCCACTTTAGGAATCTCTTTCCCCCAATTCTGCTGTTGTGGAAAATTGCCCCTTTTTACTTGTCCCCGCCAGTTCTGATCTCCCACATAGAGTCCTTCAAGAGAGTGCCTTCGCCTTTCATTCATAGTTGTTTTTCTGTGGGTACCTGCCTTAATCTTCTGCTTATCCAAAGCAGCTTGTTTAATGAAAACATTAAGGTTCTTTGATTTATTTGATGCTTTGGCAATGTTTTCCTTTTTCTTACTGCGTGCATTATAGGTGGTTCCCTTTTTAGTGCATCGTCCAGTTGCCATCTTCCTGCCTGTCATTGCGCTGTAACCTCTCCTTGTATTGTTCTTCATAGTTGTGTTCTGCCACATTTTCTGACCAAAGTTATATTTTACATTTGGATTGAAGGATACAGGAGCCCATCCGTTTTCACTGTCATTGTGATCTATTTTCTGAATAATGCACTGCTTAGGAGCATTGGAAGTATAGACTGTTTTGCTCTTTGAGCCACTCTGGTATTCAGCCAATTTGACATCAGCATGGGAAGATACTTGAAAAGGTAATTCATTCGGCAAAACCTCCCTGTGCACAATGTGAGGAAATGGACACTCAGATGTGTGATTGGAGTTTGTTGCAGCAGAAAATGAAGAAGTGTCTTCAGCCTTGCCTCCACAACATGAAGACATGGCATTATGTTCATGAATGGAAGTACGTAGCCCCGACCTGGCATCCGCTGGTAAAGTTTTTTGGTGAACATTCAGATGAATACTGCTATCATCATTAGGTAATATTTCAGAACATACTGCTTTAGTATCAAAGCATTGGTGGCTGTCCACAACATCTGGTTGAGGTTGGATTGATGTTCTGCAAAGTCTTGTACTTTCATAATAAGCCTTGTCCTTAGTAACTACGCACAGTTCTTCATTTGAACTAGGTGTTGTTTGTGTTGTATTATTTTGCACCTGGATGTTTAGGTTTGAATTAAAAGTGAGTTTATGAAGTTCAGACAGGATTTCTTTAACCTGAAAGTTATCTTTAAACCAAAACAGCTGTTCAGACATTTTCTGATGTTGTTCATATTGTGAATTTTTAATCCCATCTAGGCATTCCTGCATTGTTTGTAGTTGAGTTCTAAGATTACTCACTTCCTTCTCCTTCTGAAAGATAAAAAGTCAAGGTGTTCATGAACCTATGCTCTTCACAGTTCTATAATCTAAATACAGTCAATATCTCCTGATGGTGACATTTTCAGAACAATTTATAAAACTCTACTATGACTGTCTGTGACCACTATAACTCAAAAGGGAAATGTATAATTCCTAGCTTCCTGTTTGATTCAACTAATGCTGGGTATTATCTTTGCAAAATGGCAAACAGAATGTTAAAACGATTGAGGACAGACACTGACTGTACTGTGTACAATAAGGAAAAACAAGTAGCCAAGGTATCATTTGCAATGGCTTATTTTCTTTCTCTCACCACATTACCTTTGGTGTCCCACAAGGAGCTTTTCTTGCCCTTTAATTTTCATTCACATACTTCCCCTCAGCAATATCATTCATAAACATAATGTTAGTTTTTGCACGTATGCTGACACCCAACTCTCGATGTTTTCAAGTCCTGCTCACCCATGACTCCTGCTTGCGGAACTAAACTGAGTTATTAGATAAGCTGGAATCATTTTTCATATTTTAATTCATGTTTTCAAATCTCTCATGGCCTCATCCCTTCCAGTCTTGAATCTCCTCCAGACCAACAACTCACCAAAGATATCACTGTTCATCTAATTCTGGATTATTGAGCATTTCCAATTTGAATTGCTCCACCACTGGAGGCTATGCCATTAATTACCTAGGCCAAAGTGCAAGAATTCTCTCCCAAAACTTATCTGCCTCTCATTCCTCCATTAAGATGCTCCTAAACATATATCTCCATATGTATCCGGCAGCAAGTAAGCTGAGACAGGAGTGCAGTTAGCCAAATTTACACAGATTGATACAAAGTCACAGGAAAGATGTGGAAGCATTGGAAAAGGTGCAGAGGAGATTTCCCAGGATGTTGCCTGGAATGGAGGGAAGGTCTTACAAGGAAAGGTTGAGACAGCTAGGGCTTTTCTCTTTAGAGTGACGAAGGATGAGAGGTGACTTGATAGAGGTGTACAAAATGATCAGAGGTATAGATAGAGTGGACAGCCAGAGACTTTTTCCTAGGGTGGAGGTAGCTATTACGAGGGGGCATAGTTTTAAAAAGTGAGTGGAGGTAGATATAGGGGAGACGTCAGAGGTAGGTTCTTTACTCGGAGTGGTAGGGGCGTGGAATGCATTGCCGGAGAGGGTAGTGGAGTTGGCCTCATTATGGGCATTTAAGCAGCTATTAGATAGGCATATGGATGATAGTATAAGGTAGGAGTGGAGGTTAGATAGACCTGAGGTTTAGGGTAAAAGTTCGGCACAACATCGTGGGCGAAAGGGCCCATACTGCACTGTACTATTCCAGGTTCTAGATGGATAAAGATAGATAGTTTTGGTAATGTTATAAAGCAGAGGTCAACACCCCCTCCCCGCTCTGATAACTAAAACTGAAACACCCAGAGTGGCTCGCCTCGCCCTATAATCTATTAAAAGAAGTGAGAAAAGTGGTATAACCTGCCTCTCACTCCCAATCTGTTACAAAGGAGTGGTTAAATGAAACAAACTCTTGACACTCACTCTATAATCAACAATTAACAATTTATTTAGCTAACTCTAACAGTGAACAAATTAACTGAACTATTAACAAACTGAACAATTCCCCTTCTAACTACTAACTATTCCCGAATAAACCACGATTATAATGGTATGCTATTCTAATAAATACAAAAATAAAAATACAAATAAAACCAAAATGAAAATAATTAGAACTTAGTCCCTCAATTATAGCCAGGTTACATCTTCTGGAATGTTCTGTGCCTACTCCATTGGTCTTCTGTCACGAATGTTCTGTCTGTGAATTCTTCTGTCTGGAATATTAGCTAAGAGTGCCGCGATACCTTTATTAATGAGATGACGCTTTCTCTAAGAGCTGAGAGCGCTGATCTGCTATCAGATGGCATTTGATTCTCTCCCGATTTTCCAAATGGCCTCATCTTCTTTCCCCTTGATGACATATCAATTTCTTACAACAGAATTGGTCTTATTTTGTCAAAACTATCGGATTTACATTTATTTAGTTTTTGGTATCTAAGGGCTGGGTTTAAATTAATTGGTTAAATTCAAATTTGTTGTCTTGATAAAAATGCTGCTTTGCCTGCCTTTTGATACAAATGTTGCAGTTCAGACGCTCAGTGGACCTGCAAACCCACAAGCTGCCCACAGACCCATTTTCCCCTCTCCAAGCCTAGAAAAGGTGCATCATCTTTTAAAGGGACCATACACCGCCTTCCTCCCGCCACTACCATTTTACAAATGTCAATATTTGAAAAACATCAAATTTTAATGTCCTGCCTTCCAATCCGCAAATACGCTAGCCAACTTCACAACAGTAATGATACAGATGTGCTTAGAATGTCATCTTAGTGTCAACTACGATTTTAAGGCTGCAAAAGGTTTGTTTCAGCTTCAGATGGTTGTCAGAGAATGTAGTGGCACAGGTAACTAGGAAACAGAGTCTGTAGTAGAAGCTGAAGAAAGTGGCGTGACTTCCTACAATTTAATTGGAAGAAATTTCTGTTCATCTAGCATTGAATGCCAGACAAGCAGTGTGACAATTTAGTATTGTTAGCAGAAAACGAAGAACAGTATAGCACAGGAACAGACCTTCAGTCCACCAGGACACCCATCTAAAGTAAAAACTTTTTGCCTCTATGAGGGCCATATCCTTCTATTCTATGTCTATTGATATATCCTCAAAATGCCTCTTAAATGTTGATATTGTATCTGCCTCCACCACCTCCTCCTTCTAGGCACCTGCCACCCTCCATATAAAAAAAAACTTGCTTCTCATATCTCCTTTAAACTTACCCCCTTTTACCTTAACCCACGGCCCCTAGTAGTTGATATTTCTGCCCTGGGAAAAAGACACCCTGTATAGGAAGGATATTGTGAAACTTGAAAGGGCTCAGAAAAGATTCACAAGGATATTGCCAGGGTTATACGGTTTGAGCTTCAGGGAGAGGCTGAATAGGGTGGGCTATTTTCCCTGGAGCGTCAAAGTGACCTTATAGAGGTTTAGAAAATCATGAGCGGCATGGATAGAGTGAATAATCAAGGTCTTTTCCCTGGGGTGGGGGAGTCCAAACCTAGGTGGCATAGGTTTAAGGTGAGAGGGGAAAGGTTTAAAAGAGATATAAGTGGCAACTTTTTTCACACAGAGGGTGACGGTGTACGGATTGAGCTGCCAGAGGAAGTGGTGGAGGCTAGTACAATTAGAACACTTAAAAGGTATCTGGATGGGTATATGAATAGGAAGGGTTTAGAGGGATATGAGCCAAATGCTGGCAAATGGACAATTAATTTAGGATATCTGGTTGGCGTGGACAAGTCGGACCGAAGGGTCTGTTTCCATTCTGTATAGCTCTGTGACTCCAACTATCCATGCCTCACAATTTTGGAAACTTCTGTCAGGCTGACCCTCATCCTTCAACATTCAAGTGAAAACAAACCAAGTTTGTCCAATCTCTCCTCATAGCTAATATCCTCCAAACCAGGTAACATCCTGGTAAACTGTTTCTGTACCCTCTCCAAAGCCTCCACATCCTTCTTGTAGTGTGGTGACCAGAACTGCACACAATAATCCAAATGTGGCCTAACTAGACTTCTATACAGCTGCACGATAACTTGCCAATTTTTATACTCTGTGCCCTGACCACGAAAGCAAGCATGCTATATGCCTTCTTTACCACTTTATCCACTTGTGTTGCCACTTTCAGGGAACCTGTATGCCTAGAACACTCTCGATGTTGAGCTACTAAGAATTCTGCCACTTACTGCGTGCTTCTATCCTACATTAGGTCTTTCAAAATGTATCACATGGCATTTGTCCAGATTAAACTCCATCTGTAATTTCTCCACTCGAGTCTCTAGCCTATCTATATTGCTGTACCCTCTGGCAATCCTCCTCACTATACACAGCTCCCCCAATCTTCGTGTTGCCCACAAACTTAGTAAGCAGGCTACCTACAATTTCCTCCAAATCATTTATATATGTATATAAAATACAAACAATAGGTGTCCCAGCAATGCTCCCTGTGGACTACCACTGGTCACAGACTTCTAGCTAGAAAAACACCCTCCCACCACTACTCTGTCTTCTACGAATAATCCAGCTCTGCATCCATCTTAAGAGATCTCTGCAGATCCCACGTGACTACACCTTTTGTATAGCATGTCATGACGGACTTTGCCAAAGGCTTTGCTAAAGTCCACATAGGCGACATCTATTGCATTGTCCTCAATCATCTTTTTCACTTCCTCAAGAAGCTCAATCAAGTTTGATAGCTATCACCTTCTCTGCACAAAACCATGCTGCCTATCACTAATAAATTCATATTTTTTCAAATGTGAAAATCCCTCAGAATATTCTTCAATTTCTTAGGGGTGGCACAGTGGCTCAGTGGTTAGAACTGCTATACTGACATGCTCCAGAAAATCAATATGATCCTCCTAGGACTCATCATCCACCATGTCCTTCTCTTTTGTGAATTCCAATGCAAAACATTCATTAAGGACCTCACCCACTTCCTCCATCTCCATGCATAAATTCCCTCATTTATCTTGAGTGGACCTATCCTTTCCCTAGCTACCCTCTTGCTCCTTGCATATGAATAAAAAGCCTTGGGATTTTCCTTAATCCCATTTGCCAAAATATTTCATGGCTTTTTAGTTCTCCTAATTCTTTGTTTGAGTTCTTTCCTGCCATCTTTGTATTCTTCGAGTGGCTGTCTTCAGTTTCCTAAAACCTTATGTATATCACTTCTTTCTTTTTGATTGAGCTCTCAATTTCCCTTCTCATCCAAGGTTTCTGAATCTTGTCATCCTTATCCTTCATTTTCAGAGGGACAAGCTGGTCCTGAACTCTAATCAACTAGCCTTTAAAAAATTCTTGCACGCCAAATGTGGATTTACCCTCAAACAGCAGTCCCCAGTCTACATTCCCCAGTTCCTGTCTAATATTGTAGTAGTTAGCTTTCCTCTTTCACCCAAGAGTGCTCTTATCCTTATCCATATCCATAAGTAATTTAAACTTACAGAATTATGGTCTCTGTTCCTGAAATACTTCCCCACTGAAGCTTCAATCACCTGGCTGGATTCATTCCCCAATACCAGGTCTAGTATGGCCCCTTCCCTTGTTGGACTATTTATATACTGTTTCAAAAAAAAACAAAAACATCCTGGGCACACCTAACAAATTCTCTCTCATCCAAGCCCCTGGCACTAAGCGAGTCCCAGTCAAATTACCCACCACACAACCTTGCTGTTTTTACATTTTTCCATAATCTGTCTACATATCTATTCTTCTATCACCCACTGGCTTTGGGAGGCCTGTAAGACAATCCCTTCAAAGTGACTGCTTCCCTCCTATGACCAAGCTGTACCCATATGGCCTCGCTGGATGAGCCCTCCAAGGTGTCCTCCCCCAGTACAACTGTGAGATTCTCCCTCATCAGTAATGCAATTCCCCCACCTCTTTTACATTCTTCTCTATCACACCTGAGACATCTAAATCCTGGAATGTCAAGCTGCCAGTCTTGTCCCTCTCTCAACCAAGTTTCTGTAATAGCTACAACATTATAGTTACATGTATTAATCCTAGGTCTAAGTTCATCAGCCTTATCTGTCATACTCCTCGGATTAAAACAATTGACTTCAGAACACCAGTCTCAATGTGTTCAGAAACCTCCCTCTGCCTGTTTTTCGTCTTAGTCTTACTGGCCTTAGTCTCAGGCTCTTTCTTGGCCATTTTACTTGCCGACTTTTTGCTCTGGCTCACAGCCCCCTGCCAAACTAGTTTTAATCCTCCCAAGCGGCACTAGCAAACCTCCCTGCCAGGATACTGGCGCCCCCTCAAGTTTAGGTGTACGCATCCTTCTTGTACAGGTCCCAGTTGTCCCACTGATCCACATACCTGAAGCCATCCGTCCTACACCAGCTCTCTGCTCTGCTTGTGTTATGTCTCTATCAAGCCACAGATTGTCACCTTTGGTGACTAATGGGCTGAAATCAAGGTTCAATTATTCTTCTACTCTTACAAATTTTCTGGGGCTCAACAATAAAATCCTCCCATGAAACTCGCCAAAATTGAGACATAGTTGCTTTTCCAGTAAAATTCAGCAGTGTCTTTGCAGCTAAAGCTGCTGGCACATGCTGATGGTGTGACATTGACATAACACAATGCCGTACAGCAACATGTCCATCCCTTAACTGGTCAGCGCTGGCAAACACAACAAGATGGCTGACTTTCTATCTTTACTAAAAATTAAGGAAAAGACAGAGCTACTTTGAGCCTATAAATTCTGAATGAAGTGGCAATGTGCAAAAATGCAAGGCAGAGATGCTGTGAGCAACGAATTAAGAACAAAGTCAGTGAGTACTTAGAAAATGAGTATAAGCCCTGAGATGTATCTGTTGCGATACATGAGATGGGTGCCTGTTCCTGAATGGAAAACAGCCTGGCAGAAGCATTTCAATGTAAGGTGTTAGTGAGTTCCAAAGTGCAGTAAAGAAGTGCTGGACTCCATTATTACTGGGAAAAAAAGACAAAAACCTGCAGCTGCTGGAATTCAGAAATACAAACAGAATTAGGTAGAAAAACATCAGCATCTGTGGAGACAAAGCAGATTTGACATTTTGGGTCCGGTGACCCTTCTTCAGAACTGATCCACAGATGCTGCCAAAACTGCTGAGTTTTTTCAGCAATTTCTGTGTGCATTTCTATTATAAGTGAGTTTGAGATAAGTTATAATGATGTGCTGAGACTCCAGCGATGGAGGAGGCAGGTGGTTGCTGCCTATATAGTGTACCCAGTGATGTTGGAGAATGGTGACCAAGATGAAGGCTTGGAGAAGATGCAGGAGAGCTGCAGCTGCCAGGTAGCCAGCCTGGAACTTACAGGTTTGGAGTTGGTGCCATCTAGCCTTCTCTGTGCTGACTGGAAAAACAGCAACCTGTACATAAATGAGGTGAGCCAATAATGAAATATTAATGCATCCATATAGATTCCTCAACACTCACTGGCAAATTAAAGTTGACTGGTCTTTAAATGCTGGGATTATCCTTACAACCTTCTTGAACGTGGCAATAACATTTTCAATTCTCCAGTCTTTTGGCACCTCCCCCCAGTCCAGCAAAGACTTAAGCATTATGGCCAGTGTCCTCAATTTCTACCCATCACTTCCTTGAAAGTCCTTTGGGGTCCTAGTGCCTTGTCAACGTTTTTTATAAAAACTAATAGTCATACATCGTACACTTTCCACTGTGTTAAAAAGTCATTTTACTGCAGAGCAATAAAAGTATCAACAGCAGAAAGTGCACTTCAATTTTGTGTAAATAAACATTATGCAATTGACAGCAGAGGGTCGGAGGTGTTACAACAAATTAATGTATTTCAGAGCTTCTACCCAAACCTTACCAGGTATTTTGAATGAGAGCTCTAAAATCCATTATCTAAAGCATCTGCTGAAATTCGCAAACTTAAAATACAAAGCTGTCAAAAACTGGTTAGAACAATAGGCAAACAGTGCCTTAAGTACAATTTAAACAGTGTAAGTATAAACATTTTCAAATTATTTGAATCATTATTTGTTTTTTATATAAACAAAATTATAGCACAAATTAGTTTCTTCAGTTAATTTTTAGTAATTGCATGTTTGTCACAATAAGCATGGCTAGATTCATCTTTTGACAGAAGAAATAAATCTTACTGCTCTCCAAATCTCAAAGGACAACATTAAAGGCAAGGCTCAAATGCAAACAAAATATTTCACATGAATGAAAAGACAACAGTTCAATTTCGGATTGACTTCTAATGACTGCTGAAAGAAAAACTAATATATATTAGCGATCAAAATAAACATAATTTATTTCAATCCACAGCCTATTACTTTGCCTTATGAACAGATGATTAACTTACAGATGCAAGTCTCTTGTCCATTTCCAGAATTTGCTCAGTACTACTTCGAGCTTCCAAGGCACTCACAATTGATTCATAGTGAGTGTTTATGTTCTCCTGCACTGAACAAAGGGTAATGTGGGATAGGCAGTGAGAGGAAATAACAACATGTGAAATGTAGACAATCTAAAACTTATGAAAACACCATTATTCTTTATATGGGTGTCAGAATTTGGAAATTCATGCTGGGCTACTGAAGGTGGGGTGTCAAAAATGATTACCTCTGGGTTGCTAAGGGTGTGAAACTCTATTGGGTTAATGAAATTCAAGTAAAATTTCAAGCATGCCAAAATAAATTTGTCTAAATAATATTATCGTCCTGTGTGTAATTGGCAGCTGCATAAAAGTGTTACAGGAACTTTGGGTTTAGAAGAAAAACTCCTGAAATTTACCGATCAATTTACATATGGCCACTTATAGCTTGACCTTCCTGGTTTTCAATTTGTTTTATCATTATTTTTGTGATTCTAAGAAATGTTTGTCCAGTATATATTAAATACTATATGAAGTTCATTAACTATCTTGACTTGTTTAACTTGTACAAGAAATAATTGGGACTTTGGCAACTGTACAGTGCTCCACCTAGTGGTCATGTAACCATATGTAAAGCTCACCTACAATTTTCTAAAATACTCATTCACAAAAATGTCCAAATAGTTGGTAATTTACTTTTGTGAAAACATAATTCAGTTTTCATAAGGAATTATTGTGTTGGGCTTATTTGAAGTTAACATTTAGATGTCAGTAGCACAAAGAAATGAGCTTAGAACAAGCTGGAATCTAACAGCAAAATTCAGTATAACAAAAGCCAATTAGTTACAGCCCTCTCTAATCCCATTATAGAGATATGGAGTTCATTTTTTAAAATTATTGCATAACTTGTTTATATACTTTAATCCTAAATAGGAAACAATTTTTCCATTTCAGAAGAAATGCGTACAGTTGTGAATTAACCAGCCATCATACACTCTGATTATTTTCCTTTGATAGAGCTTGACACAAAAATTCAACTCTTAATGAAAGGAGTTAGTTTCTGTGGTTGGCTTAGAAAAGTGCTGCAAACGTGGAACATATTACATGTCAGTTAGCTTTAAACATAAATCTTGTCTCATGCTTGTTTTTGCTGCAACAGAAATTACAACCAATCTGTATTCTGCTGTTATGATTATACTCGAAATGAACACTTGGACGTTAAAAAAGTTTTCTCTGCTTATTGAACGATTTTGACTTATGATTTTAGCCTCTGATTTGAGCTCAATATTGATCATTTTTAGCTGGATTGTTCTGGGTTTCACTGACACTGTACATTTGCTTGAAATGTCAATGAAATGAAATCACATAACAATGAGCAGATGATTTATTTCTGATTTTCTAAACTAAACATTACTCAAGAGAATATTAAGTGGTAGGCCATTTCACCAAATCTAGTGGTTTTAAAATACCCATCCTGGATTATTCTGTCATTAAGTGTGGTAGAATTGTACAGTTGTCTTAGTGGTGTTCACTCTTCCACAAAAAAGTTACTTGAGAGCCTTAAAAAATGGTCAACTTACTTGTTTTTGATATACTGTCCAATCCCGCTAGAACCGATCTATTGTGCAGTTCGGTCTTCTTTTCAAGATTATTAAAGCATATTTTAATCTTTAAGATAAAAAATGTCAGATGTGTAAAATACCTCTTGAATAAATGATCAAGGGGTTGCTTATGGCAGTATTAGCAGAATTCACAACAACATTTGACTTTTATCTTTTCATGCTTGTGGTGCATTTTTTTGCATAAATATTGCATAAAGGAATGCTCAGTAAATTAATTAAACATTTGTCTGCAATTGCCACCAATACAGTATTAAGTTCCAGGCAAGTGTATGACTAGGTACACGTAAGAGGCAAAAACTCAAGCAGGCTTTATTTCTGTTAAAATAATTCTATTGAGACAACAGGGGAAGAGGGTTACAACCGTATGTCCTAAAAGACCACAATGTAGAACAGTGTGCTGCATGCAACACTAGACACCCAATGAAAGAGGTGCATGCTCATTTATGGAAAAGCAACATTAACAATCGATTAAGAATAAATAATGACACCATATGAAGCAATTCAGTTTCACACACAGGAATTTTTAAATTACTTATTTCTTGAACCTGCTAGTGTGATGAATTGAAAATACTATTTTGGGGAAAGAGGGCACTTCAACCTATATTTATTTTTAAATGTCTGTGCAGAAAACACAAGTTTAAGAAAACATGGCAAAGATTAAGTCATCTTACTGTAAATTGACCGATTTACATTCCCAGTGGGGAGTTATGTTTTGGCTACCAGAATTAGGTATTTCTAGCTGTTGTTCCCCAGCCAAGCATCTGTTGGGCCCCTGAAAAAGATTTAAGTAGCTTATGGTGTCAGTGTAGCTTGCTTTTCTGTTCAGACCTTTCAAATCTACACTGAGAAGGTGCAAGATCTTGGGATTTTGCTAGAAATGGACACAGCTTAGATGTAACCGGACGGAATTAAAGCTGAAGACTGCCATATCCTGGCTCATTACCATAGCAGCATTTAGTCCATAACTACTCCAAGTGCAATTTTGATTTGCCTTTTGAATGAAGCTTTGGAATCAAGTTAATGGGGTCATAAATGCAGCATAATTGGTCTCCAATCCAGCTTTTCCTTTTACACAGTCTCAGGGGTACAATTCAAATCAACCTTGAGTTTAAAAAAAACCTTTTAATCCTTGAACAATCATTTCATATGATTGAGTAGATTTTTCTATTTGCTCTGCTCAAGGAATTGGCATTCCACAAACAAACATACCGAAGAGGAAAACAGGCTGGAAATCAAACCACATTTCTGCCTCTACTATGCTGTCCTAGGATTTTCTGGTACATCACAGAAATAAGACTTGTGGTAAGCATTGACTTAAAATAATGACGTTAGTAAGGCAAGAATAAGCTTTTATAACTTCCCACCTCATTTTGTTTTATGTAAACTAGGAGGATATGCCTGAAGAATCCTGCCAAAAGGGCCTAAGTTAAGACTCACACATACCAGAGGCTTTCAAGGACTTTTGGAGCTGCCAAAGACTGGAGGAAAAATGACAGGTGCCTTTCTTTACTCCTAGAATTACATAAATTTTAAGTACAGAAGGCCATTCCACCGAAGTCTATGCTGGTGATTATGATCCACACAAGCAACCTTCTTGTCTCCTCTCATTCTGTATCAAAATAATATTAAACTGTTCAAACTGCCACTTTTCAACGATGCAACTAACAGCACAATTATAGCTTGCACCATCATATAGTTACAGTCCTGTTTCCACCCCGATTTACTCGCACAGGGCGTAGTAAGAAAGTGGCTTGGAGTTACATGTTGCTGTCAAGTATAGCCATATTGAGCTATGTCGTATTGAATAGGCAATGAACAGATAAGCACAGAGGAAAATCAGCCTTTATTCTTTCTCCTGATGGATCCAATCCCAATATGATTGAAATAATAATAATGCTTACTATGCTTTCCACATGTTACTGACACAATTGCAGTGTATGTTAAGTGTATCACATAAGCAGTGACAAAATGCTTAGACTTTATGTATACATACCCGGTCAATGCTTTCCTGCAGCTTAGAAAGCCAGTTATTAAAGTGCTCACTGAAACGATAGGAAATTAAATACAACATTGTAATCAAACATATCAGAAAGAGCTAGAATGTATGTGCTCTAAATTTTCAGTGATAACTACCTCTCTTCTTTATCTTTCACCTTTCTTCTGCTAATCTCAAACTGCTCCAGAAGGCTTTTGGATTTCCCAGCATAAAATTGAGTCAATAAACGATTCTCTTTGCTTTCCGCAGCAAATAAGTATGGCTTAGCCTGATATTTCTCATAGATCTTCGACTCAGTCTACAAACAGCAGAAATAAATAAGGTTTAGCTTGGTGTTTCTCACGGATTTTGATCTCTCTAACAAAAATAAATGACAACCTGTTCTTTTAATTTGGAGAATCAGAATTCAAAATCTAAATCATATTAGAGATCTTGTAAAATGGGCACTTAGGAACAAGTGATGACATTTGTACTCTAAAATTCGAGTACATTAAATATGTTCAAGTTATGGATATTGGCACTTGTGAATTACATGATAAATCCTGGCTCATATCCTTATACATTTGAATATGTTCTTGCTTTGAAGTCTATTTATTTTACTTAACAATGAAATATTTACCTTCTAACATGAAAAAGCAGTTACCATTAATCTCCAAACTCTAATCCATATTCTTCATAAATTTGCGGTTTAAAAATTATATGTGTAACAGCAAATGTCTTGCTTTACAGCTGCTATTAAATTGTCATAAATTTTTGCCATTTATGTATCTAAAGAAATCTCTGAACTGCATAATCTACTTTTTAACAATGATAATAATTGTTTTTAATGAAATCCTCCACTTTACATTATCTTTTTACATAATAAACAAAAGAACTCGAGGGCAGGAGGTGGCTTGTTCATGGCCTGCTCATGGTTTTGCTTTAATGCCTTTCTGTGACTAACTGCTAAAAGATCTAAGGGAGCAACTTGAGCGTATTTTCTTTCAATTTTCATTGTTGAAAATGTTTTCAGGTTTTGCTTGGCATCTACTTACAATTATTGGCCTGTAATCAAAAAATCTCATTTTATAGGACATCAGATATAAAGCTTTTGTTCTATCAATTGAGAAAATATGGAAGCTCCAATACATTACATTGCAGATAAAAACTCACTTCAAACAAATTAACTACTATACCAGACAGATAAATTCAGGGGCATCAGGATAGTCTGTTAGTAGACTTAAAATAGTAAGAAATCATCCTACATACTCATTTAGAAATTTCTGATACAGGTTTATCCTTAAATTCCAGTGAAGTACATTATTTGACAACAGCAATAACATGTATTTCCATAACACGTTTAATATAGAAAATTGTGAAAAAAATAAGAAGAATAAAAGAACAGATGACAAAAGTTAATGGTAGTATTAGAAATAAATAAAAGCTTGGCTCAGAAGAGGATTCTTCAGAATGTGAAGGGAGAGGTGGAGAGGCAGAAGACTTTAAGGAGGTAGATGCATATGGGTGAAGGAAAGGAAAGAGCGAGGACCTGAGGATACAGAAGACAACTTGATGGTTAAAGGACATTGTAGAAATATGATGGATGAAGCTGTGTGGGGATTAGAAGATTGACAATTTTAATGACAATTCAATGCACTGGTGGTCAAATACCAAATTGTGACATTTCTTAACACAGCTCATGTGACGCACACTTAGCGAGAACTTTGTATGCTTATTCTATAATGACTATGAACTTTTGAGTTTTATTTTGTTTAAACCTCATAACAGTAAGATTCAGACACTAGCTCACAGTTCAGAGTTGTCTTACTTCAATCTGCTGAGAGTTCTGCTGGGAATTCTTCTGTGCTCTTGAAGACAAGTTAAAATCCTGTGACTGTGAATTCTCAGGACAGAATTGTGATCCGAAAAGAAACTGAGAGTCAGACAAACTGGAGTAGTCACTAGGAGCACTGTCTCGAGTAGAATGTTTTGTCATCCTGTATCAAAAGAGTTCACGATAAGTAAACATAAGAAAGGCAATCAAGATGAGTGGTAACGTGCTGTATGCGCCTGATTTTGATATCATGTGCACTTGTTGCAATGCAAATAACATTGGAACATTTTCCGAAGTCTAACTGAGACGTGGTTGTGTATATGTTGCAGTTTGACGATCAACAGTACGTTCCGAGAATGATCATAATCTGACTGTATAGGGGTTAGAATTTTTCATCAATGGTCAGCTTGCTGGGCAGGGCAATGAGGGGGTGCAGAATGGCACCTGATAAAAAGAAAGAGACTCAAAAGCCTTCTGCAGTGCTGTAGCCATTCTATAATTCTGTCATTCAGACTTACAAGAGGTATTCCTGATGATCTCTTCACATTATGGAACAAACAGCCTTTCAATTCATAGAAGGGAGTTATTCAAAAGAGCTCAAGGCAATCTGGATGTAGCCAATAACAATCTGGATTTGAAAGAAGTCTACAAGCAGTGTAAATACCTATCATCTGCAATTTTTGATTGTCCAGTACAAAAAGTAATTGCTTACTCAAACAAACCTTAAAACAACAATGAATGGCAGGCTGACTGATGTTGTTGATATTCTCTGAATTCGAGGCAAAAATGTTGAGGCTATCATGAACACGACCTCTAAAAGCATTTCAGTGCTCACTGTGGCAGTCAGATAAACAGCTTGTGGCAAGAAGCAACAAAGGTATCAAAGCTTTGTAACAAACCCCCTGCTCCCCCCAGAAAAACACAGCCTCCATATGCACTTATCTTTAGATGCGTCTCAGGCCTATGCACTGTTATGATTTCAGTCAATTCACTTCCTTTTTATCCAAAAGGGGCTGCAGATTCATTTCATCCTTCCAAGCTGTTTCTGCGGCTGCACTTCCCTCTATTACTATAACCTAAGTGAAACTGTCAAACCACCAATGTACAAATAGCATAATGCCAAACACCTTTTAAAAACTCAGAAGCTTGTGTACATTATCTAAGTAACACAAAATTTGTATTCAATGCAAAGAAAATTGCTCCAGAACCTTTTGCGAGCCGAATGAGAGTTTCTGTGAAAATATTCCATTCCTGATCTGTACTGCCTGTAGTATTTCCACAGAATGTACAGTAAAAAATAAGCCATTTGGACCACAAGGTCCAACCCTAACCCTATCGCTGGCATTTCTAATTCAGGAAAGTATCCTTCCACTTCTCTTTATCCAATCCTAACATTATAAGTTGTTATTCCTTTCTCAATCATGTCTAATCTAGTTTTCCATTAATATCTGTGTATGGTTCAAGGTAATAGTGGACACACTATATGACATCAATGAAAGCTATTCTGCCATGTAGTGGTGGTGAGGAAGAATTAAGTTTGATAACATTTTCTGATGAATGTTTACATAGAAAACAAGAGCATGAGAAGGCCCATTCAGTCCTTTGGGCCTGCTTCACCATTCATTATGCTCATGGTCGATTATCCAATGCAACAGCCTGTTCCTACTTTCCCCCAATATCCTTTCACCCCTTTAGTCCCAAGTGCTTTTGTCAACTCCTTCTTGAAATCAATGTTTTGGCCTTGACTGCTTTTTGTGGTAGTGAATTCCTCAGGCTCACCATTCTCTGGGTGAAGATATTTCTCCTCATCGCTGTACTAATTGTGTTTTTTTTAAAAAAGGATAAATAACTTGATCTGTAGTGAATAGTTGTTTTTGGATTGTAGGAAGACATTATGATTCCAGCTAATGATAATACCGGACAAGTCAGAGCTTCAAATTGGTTTAATAAGTCCTAGTTTTTTTTTATAGTTTTGCAGTTTGGTTACTGGGTTGGCCTGATAATGAATATATTCACACGAGGTTGCCTATGTTCTTTTAACAAAAGAACACAGCTTTATTACTCATAAAAAGCTATACATTGATAAAACAATTTTAAAATATCTTAAAATAAACAGCAATAAGACTCAACCTCTTCCTAGCAACATCCTGGGTTGCCATTGCTTTCCCAGTGAAGGACCAGTCCTTTCTTAAACTCTTTAATGTCATACTTAGCTGACAAGGTTGCAATCATTTCCTTTTAGCCTTTCTGCACATTCATTGGTATGATTCTTTATGTTACTATCTCTACTAGAGACACAAATATATAGATTAACTGACTATTTCCACTGAATCTTAAGAAAAACTGAGTCTTTTACAGTCCCTTTCCTTGGACTGATTTCCACTTGTAAACTTTTAACAATTACCTCCTGGAAATGATGTTTGAACTAACTCTGGCCTCTTAAGAGAAAAAAAATCACTTCCACAGAACTGATAACTACAATCTATATCACAAAAGTATAGAGTGGCATTTCTCAGGGGTTGGAATTAGGATCACTGCTTTTCTAGATCTGAGCTAATGACCTAACTTTGGGAGCACAGTTTCAAAATCTGAAGATGATACAAAGCTTAGAAATATTTATGAACTGTGAGAAGGATAGTGATAAACTTTAAGAGGCTTAGACAGACTGATGGAATGGCAGGTGAAATGTACATGCAGAGAGATGTGAAGGGTTTCATTTTGATAAGAATGAAGGGAGGAAATATGAAATAAAGAGTATAATTCTAACAGGGGTTTAAAGTGTTGATAAAGATCTGTAGCTCGGGTTGTGGTTGAGGCTGTTGACTTGCTCACTGAGCTGGCTTGTTTGCATTCAGACGTTTTGTCACGATGCTAGGTGACATCATCAGTGGAGCCTCCAATGAAGCGACGTTATTCTACTCCGCTTGGAATTTATACTGTCTGGTCTGTTATGGAGAGTAGTGTCATTTCCAGTTTAGATCTGTATGGGTTTGTATATGGGGTCCAATTCTACATGTTTGTTGACAGCATTATGGGTGGAAAACCATGCCTCTAGGAATTCCCGTGCATGTCTATTTTTGGCTTGGGCTACTATGGTTAACTTGTCCCAGTTAAACTGATGGCCTTCATTGTCTGAAAGTACCGATATTAAGGAGAGTTCATCGTGCCGTTTTGCCGTGAGTTGATGTTCGTGTATTCCGATGGCTAGTTTCCTTCCTGTCTGGCTGATGTAATATTTGTGGCAGTCGTTGCATGGTATTTTGTAAACCACGTTGGTTCTGTATGTTGTGCGAATTAGGTCTTTAATCTTTGTAAGTGTTTTTCCTACAGTGGCTGTGGGCTTGTGGGCCACCATGATTCCTAGTGGTCTTAAGAGTCGTGTTGATAGTTTTGATATGTTCTTGATGTAGGGCAGCGTGGCCAGTGTATCTGGGCGTACTGTGTCCTCCTGTTGTTGTCTGTTTAGTAGGCATCTGCGGATGAAGTTGCAGGGATATCTGTTTATAGCAAGGATTTTGTATGGGTGGTCTTCCTCTTTCCTGCATACTTCCAGGGTGTTGCAGTGTGTCCTGGCCCGTTTAAATAGCGTCCAAATGCAGCTTTGTTTCTGGACATTGGTTAGGCAGCATGGTGGCTCAGCGGTTAGCACTGCTGCCTCACAGCACCAGGGACCTGGGTTCAATTCCAATCTCGGGTAACCGTCTGTTTGGAGTTTGCACATTCTCCCCGTGTCTGCGTCAGTTTCAACTGGGTGCTCCGGTTTCCTCCCACAGTCCAAAGACGTGCAGGCTAGGTGGATTAGCCATGCTAAATTGCCCATTGTGTTCGGGGATGTGTAGGTCAAGTGCATTAGCCACAGGAAATGTAAGGTTACAGGGTCAGGGTAAGGGGATGGGTCCAGGCGGGATGTTCTTCAGAGGGTCAGTGTGGACTTGTTGGGCCAAATGGCCCGTTTCCACACCTCGGGGATTCTATGACCTGGAATGCACTGCCTGAGAATGTAGTCAAGATAGATTTAATTGAAGCCTTCAAAATAACATTGGATAATTATCTGGAGAGAAAAATATTACAGGGCTCTGGGGAATGGAACTAGATGAGTTGCTGTTGCGCAGTGTTGGCATAGTCATAATAGATACTGTTCCAGCAAATATTTCATTTCCTGATGAATTCTCTATCGCAGCTGGATGCACGCAGAGGAACTGGAAGATCTCTGCAGACTGCTTACAAGTTCATAGAGTTTTATATGGCACAGGATGATGATATTTGGCCGTTTGAGCGCATGCTACCTCTTTACAGAACAATCCAATCAGTCCCACTACCCCACTCAATACCTGTGGCCCTGCAAGTTTATTTTCTTCAAGTGCCTATCTAATTTCCTTCCGAAAATAATTTGTTTCTATATCCACTATTCTCATCATCAACACGGTCTAGATCATTATCACATACTGTCTAAAACACAGTTCCTTCTCATTTTCTTCCTGCCCTTCTTGCCCAATACCTCAAATCTGTGTCCTTTACTCCTTGTACTATCAGTTAACAAGAACATTCTTTTCTTATCTACATTATCCAAACCTGCCATAATCTTGTATTCAAATGAAACTTCCTTTCAATCTCCTTTGCTTCAAGGAGAACAACTCCAGACTTTACAACACAATCTCACCCTTACCATTCTGCCAAAAAGCATTGCCTTACACTTCATGGTAAAAATCCTGTCCTTTTTTAAGATACTGCACATACTGCAAAGGCACCACACAAATAAAGAAACATGCAGAAAGGCAATACTTCTTATTCCCAAAACTTTTCCATCATCTGCAGGGTCCAGTCATAATGGAATGCAATGGAACACTTCCCATTTACTCACAGAAATGGAGCTCCAACACACTCAAGAATCTTAACATCATCCATGACAAAGCAGCCAATTTGAATGGTACCCCATCCACCATCTTAAACCTTGACTCCTGCCACCACTATATCATGGTTGCAGCATGTGCCCATATGCCAGATGCACTGTAGTAATTCACCAAGGCTTCTTCAATCGTATCTTTGTAACCGTCACCACCTAGAAGTCAAGTGCAGTAGGCTCACGTGAACACCACCACTTGCAACTCTCCCTAAATGGTATACCCTCTCCTGGCTTTCAAATACATCAACATTCCTCCATTTTCACAGGGTCAAAATCCTGAAATTAACTAATAAGACAGTGGGACATATCACACATACTGGAGCAGTTCAAGAGCTGCTTGCTACCACTTCTTCAAAAGCAATAGAGATGGCAGCAATATCCACATGAACAAATTAGCTGAGAAGTCTGCATGCAGAATGTAAAGCAATATTTCCAGTAAAGTTAAACAAAAAAGAAAGCTGTAGAGATCCAAACTCAATAGTCAAAGTACTTATTAAATTGAATGCAAACTAAATCAATTTCCAGTAGCAGCACAGAAAATGGCCTCCTCAAAATGATATTTATTTTGCAGCAGCTCACACTGTCATTTATATAGCGACAGGTCATTATTAGTTGAATTGTAAATGAAAGCTTAGCCACAACCCTGGATTATATTCAAATTTATGCAAGGCGCTGGAGGAAAGTGGTATATTCTTTAGGGGGAGGACTGCAATAATAGTGTTGCCTTTGAGAACAATTTGTTCTGTTTACTGATCTAAACCCACTATAAAATAGGCAGTAGTTCTAAATCTTTCACAAATCAACTTCTTTAGACATTCCCATTGAGCAACAAGAACTATTAAAAATATTATGAGAAGAAACATGGTATGCGTAAGGTTCTAGTATGACTTAGCAGAGCTTGTTTCCAGGGGTACTTTTATGTAACAATATGAGGACACTGTTCTGTTTCGTCTTAATTACAAAGGCAAGACAGCAAATGGTGAAGTTAACATTGAGATGCAGCAAAAACTGGATTTTCACTGCATCAGCTAGAAAGGTTATATTTTATATTATCATCCATACCTTGACAGTCATATAAAAATTCAAAGCACTAATATTAAAGAGATACTATTTAGTTTTTCTTTAATTGCTACTTACCCAGGCCCCACAGGGATGCTTAGCATCTCTCTAAAATTCCACAGGTTTGAGTTCATCTTTGCAATATTTGCTGAAAGAGAATAAAGTGAATAAATTATCCTGAACTACTGGTGCTCATGTGTTCCAATGTTTACAGTCACTCTAAATGGTTTTATACATTTGTCTTCAAATCTTTTGCAAATCAACCTCTTTTGACATTCCCACTGGGCAACAAGAACTATTAAAAATATTATGAGAAGAAGCATGGCATGCATAAGGTTCTAAGATGACTCAATACAGCTTGCTTCCAGGAGTACTTTTATGTAACAATATTAGAACACTGTTCTAGTTTGTCATAGCTCAACATCTGGCTGAAAACTATCAAATTTTAGGAGGCATCTTGACAGATACATGAATGGGCAGGGAATAGAGGGATACGGACTGCATAGAGGCAAAAGGTTTTTAATTTAGAAAGGCATGTGTTGGCCCAGTTTTGGTGGGCCAAAGGGCCTGTTCCTATGCTGTATTGTTCTTTTTCAAGTTCCCGGTATGAACAGATCAGGATATTCTGGTTGAAGAATTATCCGTCAAGACTTAATAGCACGCTACATGTAATGTAGAAACATGCCTAAAAGTGAATTACAGTGATGTAAACACCAATAAATGGAAATTGAACCAAGGGGATATTTGGCAGGATAATCAAAACCTTTGTCATTCAGGTGAAATTTTACAAGAGTCAAGAAAAAGAGAGGTAGAAGGGTTTAGACAGAGAATTCCAAAACTTCGGTACCAACGCTGAAGGCAGAGTCACCAAAGTTGGCACGAAGAAGAAGAGTGACAAAAATCTGCAAGTCCTAGGAAATGCAGACGTCAGTAAGTCATTTGGCATGCCCATACTCTATCTTGTAGAGGCTGAATGCCAACTCTCAGACACTTCCTCCTGTCTCCCTGGACCATGACCTCACGACTGAAAATCAAGCTGGAGTTTCGACGGCTGTCAATTACTTCATCTCCTGTGGAAATCTCTCCTTCAGACCTTCCCACTTCATAGACCCCAACGCTGCACTGCTTGCTTCTCCTTCCTTCCCAAAATCCACAAAACAGGACTGGAGGCCCGTGATCAGTGGTGTGCTGCAAGGACAGATGCTGGGTTCACTGCATTTTGTCATTTATAGAAATGGTCTGGATACGAACGTAGGAGGTATGGTTAGTAAGTTTGCAGACGACACCAAAATTGGTGGTGTTGTGGACAGCGACCTCAATCAGATGGGCCAATAGGCCAAAAAGTGGCACGTGGAGTTTAGTTTAGATAAATGTGAGGTGTTGCATTTTGGTAAGGCAAATCTGGGCAGGACTTATACACTTAATGGTAGGGCCCTGGGAAAACAGACCCATCGGTCCAACTTGTCCGTGCTAAGCAGATATCCCAAATTAAACTAATCCCATCTGCCAGCATTGCACCCATACCCTTCTAAACTCTTCCTATTCATGTACCCATTCATGTTCCTTTTAAGTGTTACAATTGTACCTATCTCCACCACTTCCTCTGGCAACTCATTCCATGCATGCACCACTCCTCTGCTTGAAAAAGTTGCCTCTCATGTCCCTTTTAAATCATGCCCTCTCACCTTAACCATATGCTCTCTAGTTTGGAACTCCCGCTGGCTGAGAAAAAGACCTTGGCTATTCATACTATCCATGTCCATCATGATTTTATAAACTTCAATAAGGTCACTCCTCAGCCTCCAACGCTCCACAGGAAAAAAGCCCCAGCCTATTCGGCCTCTCCCTATAGGTCAAACACACTAATCCTGGCAACATACCTGTAAATCTTTCCTTTCAAGTTTAACAACATTCTTCGTACAGCAGAGAGACCAGAACTGAATGCAGTATTCTAAAAGGGATCCTATGATTCTAAAAGGCATCTGGATGCGGACATGAATAGAAGGTTTTAGAGGAACACAGGCAAAATGCTAATAAATGGAACTAGCACAGTTTAGGACATCTGGTCGTCACGGTCGAGTTTAACAAAACGGTTTGTTTCTGTGCTGTATAACTTTATGATTCAAGGACTGCCCTGGCAGGCCCATCCTATTCCTCCCCAAATGAACTTATTTCTTCCTATCTTGACTCTATTGTTTTCCCTTCTTGTTCAGTCTCTTCTTTTACTCCCATACTCTGCCTCCTCACATGTTTCCACCCTCATCCCTTTCTCTCCCTCCTGGAAAAATGATAAGGTTCTTGCTGTCCTCATTTTCCAACCTACGAGTCACCACATGTAAAGGACTATCCTGTGCTATTTCCAACACCTCCAGCAGGATCACCAAAGGATTCCAACCACCTTCTCCAATCTTGGTTAACAGGATCACAAAACTCATCTTCCCCGCCCATCCACTGTCAGCATTCCACAGGTGCTATTCCCTCTGTGAAACTATAGTCCATTCCTCCATCACTCCTAACACTTCCTCACTTTCCTGTGTCATCTTCTCATGCAATTGGAGAAGGTGTAACATTCACCACCTCCCTCTTCGATGTCCAAGGCCCAAATACAATGTCGGGAGAAGTAATGTTTTACTTGTAATTTTTAAAAATCTATTCCACTGTATTCACTGTTCACAAAATGGTCTCCTTTGCACTGGCTTACAGCCACAGACTGAGTGACTGCTAAATGGAACATCTTTGTTTTGTCTGTGGGAATGGCCGGATTTCAGTTACTTGCCATTTCAATAAACCAGCTTTCTCCCATGCTAACGCTTCCATCCTGGGGCCTCCAATGAAGCTGTAAGAACAACTTTCAAAACTCTACTCAGGCAATTTGCAACCTCCAGGACTCAAGTGAATTCTACAACTTCAGAGTATGACCTCTTTCCTTCACTTTTCTTACATCACCCCTCCCCAGCCATGCCTTGTTTGTGCCTTGTTGAGCTTGCTCTCAGTAAAGTCGACCAATTTTCTCCTTTTTCATAACTATCATTTACACCCATTTTGTACCTCTAACACTCTTATTACCATTACACTCCTTTTGTCTTTTGCTATGGCCACCCTCAGAATCTGTTCCACTCATTCCTCGAGAGGTATTCTTAAAAAGAGACATTTTGGAAAATCCAGGTCCACACTGTGTAAAATATAAGTAGAATATAGTGTGAGGATGAGATTGCTAGTGAGGTCACTGGTTAAATATCCCACCAAATATGAAACTTTTTCTGCAATTTGAAAATTACTGAGAGTGATCCTATTTGGTGAACGTCCAACATATTTATCTTAAATTCTTCTCTCCAATGCTTTAATGGAGGCATTTACCTTTTCGATTTTAATTGAGTTAATACCTATATTAAGGTGAATGACATAAACAACTGGACATGAGCACATTAACTGTCTGTGCAATAGCATGATGCATGGTAATTTCTGGGCTCAAAAAAAACATGAGAAGGATAACATAAGAAAGGTCACTATTTTTTCCCTACGGCAGATACTCTTGAGCATTATTTATTTATTTGTGTAAATCTTCTTGGCTTGCTTCACTTTCAAAAGTACATTCTTCGCAGAAGACTATCGTTATAATGCATTTTTAGACTGATGTAAGCTAATATTAAATGCCAGCTTGGCTTAGTGATGATGACACATCCAGCTTAAAGTCAAGGCTTTCAAGTGCATTCAAGTTCCTCTCAAGAACTTGACCATATAAACTAGGTTGGTGATTCAGTATAGTACTAAGGGATTGTGACAATGTTGGAGATGCTGGGCTGTATTTCAAATGCAGTTTGTGCAGAGTGGGGGCTGGCAAAAATGGCAAGATAAGGATCCAAGTTTATCCTGTCCCTTTGTCATACTGCCAGCGGCAAGAAAACTGGAAGTTTGTACAGCAGTCAGCAGACTAACTGAGCCACTTACGTGGCTAATTATTACCTGCTTCCTTGGGGATTCTAGCAGCATCAAACAGGCTCCCTGTCAAATGTGGAGACTACCAGGTGAAATCTGTGCCTCCCACTGTGTTCCAAAAGGGGACAGTTCTGAAGGGCATATGGGGCTCGATACATTAACTCTGCTTCTCTGTCCATTGATGCTGCCTGACCTGCTCAGTCTCTCCAGCATTCTCTGTGTTTGTTTCAGATTTCAGATTTCCAATATTCACAGGATTTTGATTTTGGGTGTTCAAAACAGAGCTTTCTTTGTGACACTCCAAAGCCACTGAGTTACCTCCTGGCTGCAATGGTCACTCTGGGAGCAGCATGATTGCAAGTACTCGGCAGTACTCTCCTCTTCCAAAATAATCATTAGGGCCTATTAGCTTGCTAGCCCCAACCCACTCACCTGTCTTCAATAGTACCTCACCATTCAAATGTTGGCCTTTATTGTATACTGGATTGATTATAAAACAAGGGAAAACTTGCTAACCCGTACAGGGTGAGACACGTTCTAGAGTACTGTGTAGAGATTTGGTCTCCTTATTTAAGACACTTACTTACATTGAAAGCAATTCTGAGATAAGTAAGCAACTCAGTGGTGGAAGAGGTCATGATCCATCTCAGCCTCCCCCAAAGGTCCCCAGCAACAGAGATGCCAGTCTTCAGCCAAATCAACTCCGCATGATATCAAGAAGTGGTTGAAGGCACTGGATTCTGCAAAGGCTATGAGTCCTGACAACATACCTGCAATAGTATTGAAGACTTGTGATCCAAAACTTGCCACGCCCATAGGCAAGCAGTTCCAGTGCAGCTACGAGACTGGCATCTACCCAGCAATGCAGAAATTGCCTAAGTATGCCCTCCATACATGAAGCAGGACAAATCCAAACTAGCAATTACCACTCCACGCATCTACTCTTGATCATGAGGAAAGTGATGGAAAGGGTCATCGACAGTGCTATTAAATGACATTTATAAAGGAATAACCTGCTCATTGATCTTCATTTTGGGTTTCACAGGGCCACTCTACTCCTGACCCCATTACAGCCTAAGTTCATACATGAACAAAAGAGCTAAACCAGAGGTGAGATGACAGTGACATTAAGGTCGCAACTGACCAAGTTTGACTGCATAGCACACAAAACAATATTTTTAATTTTACGTCAGTATATGTAATAATAATATATCAAATCAAATCAAGAAACCCTAGCCAAACTAGAGACAGTGAGGGAATCAATGAGAAAACTCTCTGTTGCTTGGAGTCACACCGAACACAAAGGAAGAGGTTTGTTGGAGGCCAGTCATCTCAGCTCCAAAATATTTGTGCAAGAGTTCCTCAAGGGAATGTCCTTGACCCAACCATTTTCAGCTGCTTTATCAATGACATTCCATCCATCATATGGGCTGAAGCAGGGATGTTAGCTGATGACTACACAATGTTTACCACCGTTTGTGACTCTGCAGATACTGAATCAATCCATGTCCAAATGCAGCAAGACCTGTACAATATTCAGGTTTATGTGGACAACTGGTAAGTAACGTTCATACCATTTGCATGTCAGGCAATGGCCATCTCCAGCAATAGAAAATCTAACTAATGCTCCTTGATTTTCATTGGCATCACCATCACTAAATACTCCACTATCAACATCCTGGGGAGTTACTATTGACCAGAAACTGAACTGCAGGAGTCATATAAGTACTGTAGATACATGAGCAGGTCAGAGGCTAGAAATCTTGCAGTGAGTAAGGCACAAGCCAGGAGTGTGTCAGAATACACACCATTTGCCTTATGGCTGCAGTTCCTACTACACTTAAGAAGCTTGAAAGCATCCACATAAAGCATCCCACTTGATTGGGACCTCATCTACAAATATTCAGTCACTCCACTACTGACAATGAATAGCAGCAGTATGTACTATCTGTAAGATTCACTGTAGAAATTCACAAAGGCTCCTTAGAAAGTAACTTCCAAACCCATGACTACTTCTATCCAGAGGGACACAGGCAGCAGATACATGGAAACATTAGTACCTGCAAGTTCCCAACAGCGAAGACACTCATCTGACTTGAAAATATATCACCATTTCTTCATCGTTAAAACCATGGAACCCCACAATTGTATTGGGTGTCTACCTATAGCAAGTAGACGGCAGTAGCTCAAGGCTCATCACCACCTTCTCGAGGGCGCCTCGAAATAGGCAATAAATGCTGGCCCTGCCAATGATGCAAACATCCCATTAATTTTTTAAATAGTTCACTAGGTTGATTCCTGGGAATGAACAGGTTGCTTTATGAGGAAAGACGGAGTAGTAAGGGCTTATAATCATTGGAGTTTAGAAGAACGAGAGGCACTGTTGTTGAAATATAAGATTCTGAGGAGAAGCAACAGGATAGATGCCGAGAGGATGTTTAACCTTATGGGGAAATTCTTAAACTAGGGGTCTCCCATCTAAGATGGAAAGGAGGAGGATTTTCTTCATTAGTCTTTGGAATTCTCTTCCATAAAGCAATGTGGAGGCTGGTTCACTTAATAAGTCTAAGGCTGAATTAGATTTTTGATCTACAAAAGAGTCAACAGTTATGTGGAACAGGCAGAGAACTGCAGTTAAGGCCACAGTGACAGCAATGGGCTGAACGGCTTATTACTGTTCCTACTGCACATAGTGCATCCAATGTAGATTGGATATCCAATTTTACCATAATCTATTACAGGTTATATTTAATAAATGTCCACTGAAACCTTACAATTGCTAAATCTCTGGTTTAAAGATAACAGAAAGATCAGAGAATGCTGTCAGCTGTTACAGGTACATGAAATTGGATAAGATGGAATAAACATCCTCATTAAACATAAACAGCTTTAAGCAACAAACATCCCAAGGGTAAATCAGGTTTATGTGATCATCAAACATGTCATGTTTAAAATCCATTCTCCTTTAATTACATCGCTGCTTTTTAAACATCCATCACTCTCTCATTTACCACTGTCCTAAAAGCTGAATGAAGAATATCATTTATTTATACATTAATCGTTTCCTTTAAATTTTGTCAATTTCCTTTAAAACAATATACACAGGATGACGTTTATATTTTGACATGCAAAGACAGCTAGTTTACCTTTCATAAACTTACTTTGTAGTGTTGTTCATTGTTTCCTGACCTGGTCTGCAATTTCTACGTGATTTCTACGCCCAAAGTCTGGTTGGACTGGACACATGGGGCAAGTGAAGAGTCATCCAGATAGAATATCTGGAAAGGGTAAATAAATCTCCTTCCATCCCCTCTCCTATTTCCCCAGCATAAACAAGCTCATAGCCGAAACTTGAGGGGCTGGGGATTGCTTGGTGCCGATGAATTGCACACTTCGCACATTCCCCCCGTTTCTGCGTGGACTGCCTCCCACAGTACAGAGATGAGCAGATTAGGTGGATTGACCACGCTAAACTGCCCGATAACGGCCGGGGTTGTGCAGGCTAAGTGGATTAGCCATGGGAAATGCAGGGTTACAGCAATAGGGTAGGGGGCGGGTCTCGGTCGGATGCTCTTCGGAGGACTGGTGTGGATTCGATGGGCCAAAGGGCCTGCTTCCACACTGTGGGGATTCTATGACTTAGGACGATGCCAAGTCCTGGAGCAACTGTGTTGACTCAGATTACTGCCTGGGATGTACCTCGTGTCTCAGACCTGTCGAGTGAGAGTTTTCACTCGCCGTCCATCTTGCTGTGAGCTGGTGAGCCGTTCCCAGGTGCGTGTTTAAGGTGTTCGCTGGGTCGACAACCTTCTCCCGCAAGTTGGCAGCTCCAAGGTAACCTGAGCAGTCGCCGCGCTCGCAGGTGTTAAGGTTCACCCGCTGTTTCTGTTTCTCCCTCTTTGAAGCTACGTGTCCTCTGTCCGAGGTCTCAGCCTCCTTGTCGCCCCACAAGCTTCTGCAATTACCCTCTTCCAATCAACCAAGCGGTCTACTGCAAACCGACGCTACCCTGAGCAACGGCGCCGCGGGGAAGGCGGGAAATGGAGCCCAGCGCGTGCCCGGCCGGGGTGGGCGACACTGAGCGTGCGCGGTGACGGTGATTTGCCAGCCCGGTATGTCACGTGCCCGCCTTCACCCATTGGGGAAATCACTGTGTCAGCGTTTGGGCAGCATTGAGGCAATGCCTTTCCCATGTGCACAGGTTCGACGCTCTTCATTATTTACCAGACGTTTATGGTCTCGACCAGTCTATGCACGATATGATGATCCTGAAGAAGGGTAATACCCGAAATGTTGACTGCTCCCTTCCTCCAGGTGCTGCCTGGCTTGCTGTGTTCTTCCAGCCTCCTGTTTGTCTACCTTGGGTTCCAGCATCTGCAGTTTTTTTTGTCTCTACGATGATTCTGTACCCGCCCACGGTGTCTTTAATCGAGAAGCAAACTTCTAATGGTAAACAGATCGATATTAAAAACCAGTTGGTATTATTTTCAAACACAAATGGATTTAAATGAACATTTGGTTTACAAACTTCACTTGTTTACAAATCCCCACGGCAGGTCCAAAGGACTCATGTAGCTATAAAATACAGCGGATGTTGGAAATCTGAAACAAGCACAGAGCACAGAGAATACTGGAGAACTCAGCAAGTCTGTCAGCATCAATGGAGAGAAAAACAAAGAATTAACGTTGATTTCACCAGTGGACTCCTGCGACGAAAAAAATTCTTCGATTCATCAGTGGATATTTATCGTAGCACTTTAAAAAAACGATGGCATCTAAAACATTTTACAAAACGTTTCCTGTTATCACCTAGCGTAAAGAACCCGTCCTCCCACCCTTTACTCTTGCTTGTAGCTTCCTTTCAGGATTAAACATTACCCACGTATTCTGTGTGCACTCACATATTAACCTTAGTGGACCGATCAACAAATGTGATCTATTCAAAATAGGATAATAGTAGTGAAGAAAAGCATATGAATAATAACTTGTTTGACACAATTCCGATACCGTACGTAAAATTATTGGCTCCCTAACCCATAAAATGTAAAGTTTTAAATGATCAGTTTCAATTATCATATTCAATTGCTTTTTGCAATATATTTAATTTAATGTACACATAGAATAGCAGATACATAGGACAGTCTTACCATTGTGTTTAGTACTCCAATTTGTACACTACCCCATGCAGAAAGTGCTTTCTATTAGAATGCAATATAATGAATACGGGGGGAGGGGCTAAGTTTAAAAGCAATTTTAATTTTAATGAAAGGCAAAGTAAGTGTTTTAGGAAAGAAAAATACTGCAGAGTGACCAAGTGAGGGACCATCAGTAGCAAATAAGAAGTTAAAATCAGCAAGAGATTTGGTGTAAGAAGATTGGAGAAGTATTAATACATTTGAAAATTAGACCAAACATTTGAGCCAATTCTCTCAGGCACAGGAACTCGTGAAGCATTGATGGAGTGCACTGAATTTGTTTTGCTTGTTTTACAAAAGATTAAAGGCAAAATAATGTGGATGCTGGAAATCCTGTTTGTGTTTAGTTTACTTCGCACTTAGTAGAAAGGCCCAATCCTCTTCCTTTCAAACCTTAATTTATACTCTCTTTGCACTTTGTTTCCTGCTCAACAACCTCTTTGTCCTTTGCACTGCGCCCTATACTATTGCCCCTCCTCTGACTCTGTCAAAGGTATAAAAAGAACCTATTTTCTGACTGCTTTCAGTTCTGAAAACGTCATTCCAGACTTAAAACATTAACTCAATTTTTCTCTGCACAGATGCTACCGGACATGCTGAGTTTGTTCAGCGTTCTCTGCATTTGTTACAAATGATTAAGACTGTGCTTTCCAAACTTGTATCCCAGTATGACCTCATGTTAATACCATTTACTTCATGTGACCCAGAGTGAAAAGTTCAGTTTGGGAGGTCTGAGAGTTGAAGGAGGAAAAGAGAAGGCTTTGGCATAGGAGAAGAACTGTAGAATGCAGTGAAAAGAGAGGAGAAGTGGATAGGAGTTGAGTGGAAGTGTATCTAGGATTATAAGGTGACGTTTTAATAAATGTAGTAGGAACCTCCAGATAAATGTACGAGGATTCTGGTTATTAATGTTTTAGGACCCGTGGAATAGTTGACAGTTTAAAGCAAAATATCATTGATTAATGAAGGATTATTAAGGTATTTGGACTGTTTTTTCATGTAATAGCATTCTGATTATTAACCTTATATGGTGATGATATTGACAAAATTGAAAAATAGCTTTAATGTATTAAGATCCAGATATAATAGGAACAAAAAGAAAGTTGCTGGAAAACTTAGCAGGTCTGGCAGCATCTGTGAAGAAAAAAACAGAGTTAACGTTTTGGGTCCAGTGATCGTTCCTCAGATATAATAGATTCAATAGTAAGAGGCACAGACAGGCGGTTCTGTGGATGCGAACGAGACGAACAGATGGTATGTTGCCTCCTGGGTGCCAGGGTCCGTGACGTCTCGGATCGTGTCTTCAAGATCCTTAAGGGGGAGGGTGAGCAATCAGCAGTCATGGTACACATCGGTACCAATGACATAGGTAGAAAAAGGACTGAGAATGTGAAAAACGAGTACAGGGAGCTAGGTTGGAAGCTGAAGTCCAGGACAAACAGGGTAGTTATCTCTGGATTACTACCAGTGCCACGTGATAACGTGGTAAGAAATAGGGAGAGAGTGCAGCTAAACACATGGCTACAGGGCTGGTGTTGGAGGGAGGGTTTCCAATATGTGGATAATTGGAGCACGTTCTGGGGAAGGTGGGACCTGTACAGTAAGGACGGGTTGCACCTGAACCGGAAGGGCACAAATATCCAGAGAGGGAGGTTTGCTTGAGCTATACGTGATGGTTTAAACTAGATTGGCATGGGGTGGGGAACCGGATTTGTAATTCAGAGGATGAGGTATTCAGCCTTCTAATAGATACAACAGGGAGTGAGGTTGTTAATAAAGAAATGCGGTCGATGGAGCGTAATTGTGGACACAGGGATGGTTTGAAGTGTGTATACTTCAATGCTAGAAGTATCGGAAATAAGGCGGATGAACTTAGAGCATGGGCCAGTACTTGGAACTGCGATGTTGTGGTCAGTACAGAAACTTGGGTAACTCAGGGACAGGAATGGTTGTTGGAAGTTCCGGGATTTAGATGCTTTAAAAGAAATAGGGAGGGTGGTAAAAGAGGCGGGGGAGTGGCATTGCTAGTCAGGACAACATAGCAGCGACTGAAAGGCAGTTCGAGAATGATATGTCTACAGAGTCAGTTTGGGTTGAGGTAAGGAACAAGAAAGGAGTAGTCACTTTGTTGGGGTTTTTTTACAGACTCCCTAATAGTTGCAGAGGAGTGGAGGAGCGGATTGGGAGGCAGATACTGGAAAGGTGCAGAAGTCACAGGGTTGTAGTCATGAGTGACTTCAACTTTCCAAATACTGATTGGAAACTTTTTAGCTGCAATAGCTTAGATGAAGCGGATTTTGTCCAGTGCATTCAGGAAGAATTCCTGACACAGTATGTAGATAGACCAACACGAGGAAAGGCCACTTTGGATTTGGTGCTTGGCAATGAACCGGGCCAAGTGTTAGACCTGTTGGTAGGAGAGCATTTTGGCGGTAGCAATCATAACTCTGTTACTTTTACAATAGTCATGGAAAAGGATAGGTACATACAGCAGGGTAAGGTTTATAATTGGGGGAAGAGTAATTATAATTCTGTTAGGCAAGAACTGGGTAACATAAAATGGGAACAGATGCTATCAGGGAAGAGCAGTATTGAAATGTGGAGATTGTTTAAGGAATGCGTAGTGTGTGTGCTCGATACGTTTGTCCCTAGCAGGCAGGAAAGATGCGGTCGAGTGAGGGAGCCTTGGTTCTCAAGAGAGGTCAAACGACTGGTTAAGAGGAAGAAGGATGCTTATGTAAGGTTTAGGAAACAAGGATCGGAAAAGGCTCTAGAGGGATACAAGTTAGCCAGGTAGGAGCTGAAGAAAGGGCTTAGGAGAGCTATTAGAGGGCATGAGAAAATCTTGGCAGATAGGATCAAGGAAAACTTCAAGGCTTTTTACATGTGCGTGAGGAATAAGAGAATGACCAGAGAAAGGGTACAGCCGATCAAGGATTGTAAAGGGAATTTGTGAATGGAGCCTAAAGAGTTGGGAGAGGTCCTTAATGAATACTTTTCTCCGGTATTCACAATTGAGAGGGACCTAGTTGTAGAGGAGGACAGTGTGAAACAGGCTGGTAGGCTAGAGGAGATCGATGTTAGTAAGGAAAATGTACTAGGAATTTTGAGGAACTTGAAGATAGATAAGTCCCCTGGGCCTGATGGGATTTATCCAAGGATTCCATGGGAAGCGAGGGAAGAGATTGCAGGGCCTTTGGTGATGATCTTTTCGTCCTCACTGTCCATGGGTATAGTGCCGGAAGATTGGAGAGAGGCAAACGTCATTTCCTTGTTCAAAAAAGGGAATAGGGATTACCCCAGAAATTACAGGCCAGTTAGTCTTACGTCAGTGGTGGCCAAATTATTGGAAAGGGCTCTGAGAGATAGGATTTATGATCACTTGGATAGGCACAGTTTGACTCGTGATAGTCAGCATGGATTTGTGAGGGGTAGGTCATGCCTCACAAACCTTATTGAATTTTTTGAAGAGGTGACCAAACACATGGATGAAGGTAGAGCAGTGGATGTGGTATACATGGATTTAAGTAAGGCGTTTAATAAGGTTCCCAATGGTAGGCTCATGCAGAAAGTAAGGAGGCATGGGATAGGGGGAAATGTGGCAGATTGGATTCAGAATTGGCTGACCCTTAGAAGACAAAGGGTGGTAGTGGACGGAAAATATTCAACATGGTGCTCAGTTACGAGTGGTGTACCACAAGGATCTGTTCTGGGTCCTCGTCTATTTGTGATTTTGTAAATGATTTGGATGTAGGAGTGAAAGGGTGGATTAGTAAGTTCGTGGACGATACGAAGGTGGGTTGAGTTGTGTATAGTGCAGAGGGCTGTTCTAGGTTACAAAGGGACATTGATAGGATGCAGAGCTGGGCTGAGAAGTGGCAGATGGAGTTTAACCCTGGAAAGTGTGAGGTGATTCATTTTGAAAGGAAAAACTTGAAAGCAGAATACAGGGTTAATGGAAAGATTCTTGGCAGTGTGGAGGAGCAGAGGGATCTTGGGGTTCTTGTCCACAGTTCTCTGAAAGCTGATATCCAGGTGGATAGAGTTGTTAAGAAGGTGTATGGTGTGTTAGCTTTCATTAATAGAGGGATTGAGATCAAGAGCCGTGAAGTTATGCTTCATCTATACAAGAGCCTGGTTTGGCCACAGCTGGATAATTGTGTCCAGTTCTGGTCGTCTCATTACAGGAAAGATGTGGAAGCATTGGAAAAGGTGCAGAGGAGATTTACCAGGATGTTGCCTGGAATGGAGGGAAGGTCTTACAAGGAAAGGTGGAGAGAGCTAGAGCTTTTCTCTTTAGAACGACAAAGGATGAGAGGTGACTTGATAGAGGTGTACAAAATGATCAGAGGTATAGATAGAGTGGAAGCCAGAGACTTTTTCCTAGGGTGGAGGTAGCTATTATGAGGGGGCATAGTTTTAAAGTGAGTGGAGGTAAATATAGGGGAGACGTCAGAGGTAGGTTCTTTACTCAGAGAGTGATAGGGGCATGGAATGCATTGCCAGAGAGGGTAGTGGAGTTGGTCTCATTAGGGGCATTTAAGCAGCAATTGGATAGGCATATGGATGATAGTATCAGGTAGGTTGGAGGTTAGATAGACCTGAGGTTTAGGATAAAAGTTCGGCACAACATCGTGGGCCAAAGGGCCTGTATTGTGCTGTACTGTTCTATGTTCTATATAATAGGATTTGAGTATTGATTGAATGGGACTCAGATTATTCATTGAAGTAATTCTGATAATTAATGTATTAACTTCCAAATTGTCAGTGTTATGATTTCCTCATTATTGAAGCAATTGGTATTTTATTTTTATTAATTCGTGTGATGTAGGCATTATTAACAGCGCCAGCATTTATTGCCCATCCCTACTTGCCCACAAGAAGGTGGTGGTGAGCTGCCTTCTTGAATTACTGCAGTCGATTTGCTGTAAGTAGACCCACAATGCTGGTAGGGAGGGAATTCCAGGATTTTGAGCCAATGATACTGAAGGAATGGAAATATATTTCCAATTCTGAATGGTGAGTGGTTTGGGGGAATATTGCAGGTGATGGTGTTTGCATATGTCTGTTGCCCTGGTGTTTCTGGATGGTCACGGTTGTAGGTTTGGAAAGTGCTGCGCTCAGAGCTTGGTGAATTTCTGCAGTGCATCTTATAGATGATACACACTGCTGCTATCAAACATTGGTGATGGAGAGAGTGGATATTTCTGGATGTGGTGCCAATCAAATGGGCTGTTTTGTCCTGGATGGTGTCAGGCTTCTTGAGTGTTGTTGGAGCTGGACTCATCCAGGCAAGTGGGTATTATTCTATCATACTCCTGACTTGATAGATGTGGATGTGATTTGAGATTCAGAAAGTGAGTTACCCATTGCAGGATTCCTAACCTCTGATCTGCTCTTGTAGGTGCAGTATTTACATGGGCTATTCCAGTTTAGATTCTGGTCAATGGTAACCCTCAGGATGTTGATAGTGGGGTATTCAGTGATGGTAATGTCACTGAATGTTAGGGAGCGATGATTAGATGCTCTCTTTATGGAGATGGCCAGTGCCTGGCATCTGTCTAACATGAATGTTACTGATTATTGCCATAGGAACTTTGTAATTAAAGTAATTAGGTCCTGACAATTAAAATGATAGTTGGCTGATTATTTATTCAATCCGATTCTGGTTGTTGATGCAATAAGCAACTGACTATTAACGTAATGGTACTTCGATCAGTAGTGTGACAATATCCTGAATCTTAAAGTAATAGGACACTGTAAATGAACGTAATACGAACCTGAATATTAATGTAGTAGGACTCTGGTCATTGATGTACCGAAGTCTTCATTGTTGCCAAAGGGTTCTGATTATTAGCATAATCGAATATGAGAATTATTGCATTACTATCCTGTATCTCTCCCTCTTCCAGTTCTGACGAAAGGTCACCAACCTGAAACGCTTACTTTCTCCAATAGATGCTGCCTATCCTGCTGAGTACTCCCAGCACTCATTAATTTTCCCTCATCAGATTCATTATTGACTCAGTCTTGTCCTTTAATGTGCTGTGAGCTGATTAAGAAATTGTTTGCTTGATTCCCGAATTCGCATAATCTCGCTGTAGTGGTATAATTCATTCACTGTTTCTGCCGTATTTGGAAAAGATACTCCAGCAAATTCGATAAATTTTCATATTATAGGTAACTCAACAGCGTCCTGAAAGTAACAGACGACAAATGTTGTACTCGAGGGCAATCGTGTTCTGTTAATCATAGGATCCCTACAGTGGGGGGAAAAGCCATTCTGCCCATCGATTCCATACCGACCCTCCGAAGAGCATCTCACCCAGCCCTAGCCCCACAACCTATGCCCGTGAGCCTACATGTTATCATGGCCAATCCACTCCCTAGACACCACGGACAATTCAGCATGGTCAATCCTGTGTTCATGGTCAAAATTGTATTCAGTAATATTTCACGTTTGTTGGTCATGAAAACAAACGGTCACATGGTTCAGCTATCACAATGTATTACTCTGAAAAGACTTGAGTTGAAGCGTACAGATAGAATTTGACTTGTAGGAGAATGCAACGGAAGATGCCACAGTCCAGTCTGATTAGAATCAATACATGGTTGAGTTTCCTGGTTCATTATATCTGACTTGCGCTTTTACTGCAGTGTGAGCAGAGTATGTATTTACAAAAATGCCCTCAAAATATTGTCCTCATCCCCTCACATCCTTTCTGCAGAGCTCCCAAACAGTTTCTCTTGCTTTCACTGTCTCAATGCATGACACACAATTTCTGTATGTTTTATCAATTTGCACGTTTCGTATTTCCCTTTCCCTCCCATAACGTCAATTAGTCGATGGATCTTAAAAATGGACTTGACACGTTTAGAGGTTATTTTACTACTAATGTTTAGTTTGGGCGACTAATCGAGATTTACCATTTCAGTAATGTAAATCTCTTGTTCGGTTTTCAAGTATAAAGTGTTTACGTTGCAGTAACACAGTACAATCGGCCGCGCCTCCAAAGCGTGTAGTTTAGCAACTGAGTAAACGATGAATATGAGCTCGTTGTTAAGAGTGCTTCCTAGGAAACCCTTACACAAAGCTCAAATAAACTTTATCAGACACCATGGCTGGAGCCATTACTGGATCTTGGGTAAGAGAGTCATTTTGAAAATCAGTGGATCTGTGTATGCCTCAGGAGTCCTGTATTAAAAAGTCCCTGTTCCGCTTTTCTCTTTGTTAAATGACCCTTCCCGCTGTCTTTTGCTCCCTACAGTTTCCGACTGGATTTCATGGACATGCCCGCAGTAAATCCCGGAATGACATATTTCAGGAATACAGACAACGGGCCAAGCCACCCCCTCCCGAGAAGCTTATAAAACGACTCCGGGTGAGTTTAAAGTATTAGCATCAATCACATTGACGAACGTAAGCACATTATTAGCCTGTTGGACGAGTGGCGGGGATCATCTGCTGTTGTTTAGCCGATTTGCCTGTTTTCTGATTACCACATTCTCCGTTTGCAGTCGATGTAATATTTTGTACACACTTCAAAATGTTCTGCGGATGATCAGAATCACCGTTGCCCTGCGGATTGCCGGTTTTATTGGCCGATAATGTCAGAAGAATGTTTAAATTTAGGAGATGTTTTTATTGTTTGGAAATGATGAAATATTTGCCCTCACCATATGTGTACTGATCTGGACAGAGAAGGGCATTATTTAGATTAAATAAAGAAACAGGCATGGACATGGTGAAACAAATTTGACTAGTCTTAAATATTCCCCAGAGCCCAAAACATGAACAAGAATCATGAAAGGAGGCTCTTGTGGTACAGAACTTTGAGTGGTGGTAACCTTGTTGTCCAAGGTAACAGGGTTTATTGCCACTGTGTATTTTCAGCAAAATAGCAGTGTGGAGGAGGTTGTGAGGAAATTCCTTGTCACCATGATCTGTAGAAACTCTGCAGCCCATACAGCAAGTCCTGTTCACCCATCATCTCTATCCCTGCTGACCAACTACTCCAGCCCATTAATGTCTCAAAGTTAAAATTTTCATCCTCTGCTTAAATCCTTTCATCTCTCAGTTACTTCACATAGATCTACAGCCTGCACTATCAATCTGGTCTTAGATATTTCAAGTTTTTGCTTTCAGCCATCCATGTGAAAATGCCTCTCCTTTTAAATTGCTTCTTAAAACTTATTTCATAGACCAAGCTTTCAGCTCCTTCTCTGGGTTGTTTCATTTTAGTCTGTTTTATTATGGTCAATTCAGACTTATCAAACTTATAAATGGACATTTATTGTTGTGGAATGAAACAGTAGTTACAGAAACTGCAGATATCGACAACTAAATCTGATTTTTTTTAAAAGCTGACTTGATAGTGACCATGAGATAACAAGGTGTAGAGCTGGATGAACACAGCAGGCCAAGCAGCATCAGAGGAG